CGGTATCTAATTTATTTTTACCACGTTAGAGATCTTTGCAAAATTTTGGAAATTTTATTTCATCATAATGTTTAAATCAAAGAACAAAGAGAAAATGATTTTCCCACAGGAACCGCTGACCCTGGAACCACATCTTTCAAAATTTGGAAATTTTATTTCATCATAATGTTGATAAATACCAAAGAGCAGATTTTCAGACTATGTAACCCCCTCCCATCCCTCAAGTACCTCTGTCCCTGGGGCCCAAAAATTAACAATTTTGGAAGAAGCAGCTTACTTCGTCATAAATATTTACTAAGATCATTGGTATAATACCCACCATGGAGCAAAGGAAAATATTTTTAAAAAAAGAAACTCTTGCACTTTCAATATAAACATTAGAGCCCACCCTAACACAAGATGCTCTTACCCAGGGGCCCTGAAATTCACAAATCTCAAAAGGCATTCCTCCTCCTCAAAACTATGTACATAGTTTATTGGTTTAAAACCAAGATGCAGTATTTAAACGAGGATGTTAAAAGAATTTAATTTCCACTAAATAATCAAGAGCCCCACCCTAACACCAGAACCCCAAAACAAGGGGCAATGAAATTCAAAATTTTGGAAGAGGCATTCTTATTCAACATAATTATGTACTTGGTGAGTTTAATTAACTCAGGAGCAGAAAAGAACATTTTCAAAGAAATAATTTATTATCACTATATTATCTTTATATCCCTTGTACTAGAACCCCTGACCCTGGAGTAATGAAATTCACAGAGGCAGCCTTATTTAACATAACTATGCAATTGGTTAGTTTATTTAATGCCAGCTAGAAGAGAAAAAGAATTTCAAAAAATTTATGCATTTTCACTATATAATCTATATAGCCCCGCCCTGTCACTAAAACTCTGACCCTAGGACCATGAGATTCATAATTTTGCAAGAGACAATCTTATCCAACATAACTATGCATTTGGTTAGTTTATTTAACGCCCAAGAACAGAGATGATTTTCAAAGAAGGATGTATTCACTATGACAAAAGAATTGACCTATAGGAGAGAACAATTTTCCAGCAAAAAGTGACATTAAAAAATTTATCTTTATTTGTTGTTTTATATCGATCGTATATATATATCTAAATTTTTTTAATTTGTATTTTATACCTTAAATATATATTTACAACTTTACAATAAACCTCAAAACTTGGTAGAGACACCATTTCGTCCGTTTAAGCGTTGATTTTAGCATGAATTTTGGCCTTGAAGTCCTTCAGGGAACGCTGTCACTAAATAAACTTGTGATATTTCGATAGGTTGGGATGTAAGGAATAACTCAAGATAGAATTTTGTTAGGGGTACCCCTGCCCTAGGGTCAAAATTCACAAAAAAAAATACAAAAAATAAGGAAACCTGATTTTGATAATCTGCTTCAAATTAATACTTTTCATTCTCATAGTCAGACTAGCTCAGTTGATACATGCGCTTTTACACCGTGGAAACTTTCCTTTTCAAGTCGGGGGGTCGAATCCACCTGGTATTACACTTTTAAATTTTGCCTTTTCAAAGACTATTTCACTTTTTTTTATAGAGATTTGTGTATTTTCTTTCAATTATCTATCCTTTAGGCATGCCAATTCTTGATACAAGAAACACTTAAGAGAAATCAAATCGTAACAATCCAATGTACGTGTACAGTTGTCAGTGAGGCGGAACAAACCTCAGTACAAGCACTTTTTCTCTGAGGACAAGATTAACTCACACTGTGTTATTCGATACAGGTATTCTTGGCAGCACAGAGCTGCGATGAATTTCATTTGTAGACATTCATAAGAATATTATCACATTGATTTTGGCTACATATATCAGTAACTGTGCCCCTTGGATTTCTTTTAGGCCTGCATAATTTGCACAAATTGATGACTTATTTTATTATATCAATGGATAAATAGCCTAGGCATAAAATTAGAATTTCAAAGACAGTAAATATTACCATTATTCACAGTGAGAGCTAAAGACAAATATCAATTTTTGCATTTGGAGATAACAAACTCAGAAAATCAATGAAAGCCCGGTTCCTCCTGCCTCTACTCGCTGAAATAAAGATTTAGGAAAAACAAATTGTCATACGTATTCAGCCTAATGTCATTATTCGGAACGGAAATCGACAAGCTTTTTGTAGTGAATAAAACCAAGCCCGGTCCTTTAGGTCAAATCTAATGAAGTGATCCTGTATGCATTTAAATTTCACTATATATTATCTATAAAGCCCCGCTCTAGCACTTGAACCCCTGATCCTGGGGCCATGAAATTCACAATTTTTGATGAGGCTGTCATTTTCAACTGAACTATGCACTTGGTTAGTTTATTTAATGCCCATGAGCAAAGATGAAGAATTTCAAAGAATTTATGCATTTTCACTATATAATCTATATAGCCCCGCCTTAGCACTAGAACTCCTGACCCCGGCGCCATGATTTCCACAATTTTGGTAGAGGACCCAATGCAGATTACAATCATACCAACAGTTTGACTGCTTGGTGTCCATTTTCAGGAGTATGGAACAGGATTTTTAAAGATTGCACAATTTAAGTTTTTCAAGCGGGGCTATAAAAATGTCAGATGAGTAAAGCTTTTCAGTATTTTTCTTTAAACTAACCTGATACAAGAACGTCTGGATACATGTATAATGAAATACCATAACAAAATGTTACAGATGTGTTAGAATTGTTTTCTAAACCATTGTACATGAATAATGTAAAATTATTGCTTAATTTAACGACTTGTAACGAATTGGACAGTCTTAAGGCCGGTACACACGGTAAAGTTTTCTTTTACATGTAGGTCGTAAACCTAACGTTCTGCAGGATGTTGGGCTCTCATGTCCAAAGGTAAGGCAAGACTTCCAATATTATAAACATATAGATTCCATGTGGTGGAACAATGTTTTTTGTAATACATGTATAATAAGAAACAGCGCACATTATTAAGGGGAAGAAAGACCTTTAGTTGAAAAAACACCTGTCATTTAATTTTTTTCATATTATGTAGATCTCTAATATAGTATGTCCTACATACTTTAAAGCATATATATCAATAGGTTTCTAGACTTATTTTTGAGATTTTGAGTAACAAATACTATACCCACAGTGTCTAAGTGGAGTTTTAATTCTCAATGTTTCTCGGCCCATAATTGGTCCATAATGGATTTTTTTTCAGTATAGATAAAAATATGTAAGCTAACATGTGTCTTTAAAAATATTTCAGAGTATGAATAGGGTTAAAAATTCGAAAAAGCAATATTCTTTTGTCACACCGCATCAGGAGACAGAAAATTGCGTACTTTTTAAGACACCTTAAACAACAAAAAAATTAATTTGCAAAAAATCCTATCATTTAATATTTGAAAATTTACACTGAAATGCAAGATCGTCATATTATTGATTAGCTTTAATAATATCGATTTGTGAAGCTGAGCTCAATGTTGCACAGGATATAGTTAAACAAGACAAGAGCTTGAGAAAAATGTTTCATGTTTACATTTCTGGAGTACGGGGAAACCCAACAATGACGTCACACTTTTGTGGAATAAGCGAAATAAGTGTGACCAAACATCCTTCGTCCCCTTAAACGAAATAACATATAACGAGCTAGTATTTTCAAATAGTTTTACCGACCAGTATACAAAGAAGAGAAGGTCAAATGAAATATTTGCAGAAATTTTCACAATCTTGTCCATATATACTTTGTGTTTTCTTCAATAAAAAATGTAAGTGGTGTTGATTGAACTTGAACTGAAATGGTTTACATGCATTGATTATAAGAAATAAATGTGCATTGAGGGTGTACACGGTAAGGCTATAAACTTAAGATCCGTGACTTATAAGGAAAGCCTTATCGTGTGTATCGGCCCTTATAAAAATATTGTGCATTTGAGAAACATTTTCAATTAAGGTCATTGGCAACGCAGGGTTTCCGGAGAAAAAAAGGTTTATACCCAGGTTTTTTCAATTATAAAAATAGTCATCGAGAGTGATCTCCCGTATGGAATTCTCTAGGCGGTGAAAACCAATAAAGCGCGTTTTTATCTGATATGTTCAACTCTACAATAATAAAAGAACAGCAGAGATGGGTTTGTTTACATTGTGCTGAGGGGGCAGACAGTCAACAGGTCGTCATTTAGAATAAGTACCTGTATGCTGGGAAGTGCAAAGAAGTGACATAATTATGCTGAGAGTGGTGATAGCTAGGTTAAGACCAGATGAGAACGATTCTATAGGTTTTTGAAGGAGGCATCATTAAAAGTTAATTATAAATCCTTGCAAAAATGTTTAATGACAGTTCCTTTCAAATTAAGTAAATTATAGTATAGAAACAAACAACCAGTCTCTTGGTCATTATGAATAATAATTAGATGTTAAGAGAAATAACTCAAAATCAAAGAACAGTGCTGGCATCTCTGTGTTTTCTTTCTATATTTGCAATTTGAGCCAAAGTATATGTTTGTCATCAGAAATGAAGATTCAACATTGTATTTCATGTATAAACTTTATGAAATAAATGGGTTATAGAAAAATCTTATGGTTAAAATAATATAGGACAATTTTATCAACATTTTACATAGGAAATGCATTGAGAATTGTAAAAACATTGATTTGACAAAATCTTTAAAGAAAGGCTGGCTTGATGGGTAAAAAGGGCATGAATTGAACATGTTTGGTTGCATTAAACCTATTCAAAAGTTCGTGAAAAATTCTATACAAAATCCAGAAACGTTGCCAATGTCCTTAACGGTTCTTGTTACATCAAGTTCTTAATCAATTTAAAGGCATGCAGCAAAAGAATGTGATAATAATATTACAAAAGAGGTTTATCAGTTGTTAAAATTTACACAGATACGTGGTACATTTTAAATGAAATTCGTCGCATAAAATATTGCTTTTGAACAGAGTAAATAATTTCCAGGTGATGAGAAATACATAGACGAAATAAGAAATAGAACTAATTTATTTTTTTTACAGATGTATTATTTTGATTCTTCTGACTCTGATGACACTGACAAAGATTACGAGGATGAAAGTGACGAGAAGAAGGGGGTAAATTCAAAACCTTCATAGAATATACAATTTTGATTCTGTGATATTCAAGAAATATGTATCGATCGACTTTATAAGAGAATAAAAAGTAAAGCACGTTTCTTTCAATACATGTGATCTTTATCAACATCTTAAAACCGGCATTTAACATTGTAGACCAAATCAACATTTAAATAGTTATGAAACCTGCATCTGACGTATTTAAATGGAATATATTTTAGCAAAATGATCATTCTTTAACCATAATTAATGTATTGACCTTAATTCCCTGCAACACGGATCTACAAAAGCGCTCGATTTTAACCCCTTTTAAAAAAGAATAGTTGACGAAAGGGTTGATTTATTTCGATAAAAAAAAAGGTATTTTATTTTGAAATCATCCCTTCAAATGAAATGATTTTCTGAGTTCTGTCCAGAATATTTTCATTATCGCTCGGGATAGAAATCTTTTTTCTTAGGGATAAAGTTTAAAAAAAAATGAATAAATAAAAAAGGAAACATCTTTTTAAAAATATGTTTCTCAGTTTACGACTATTCAAAGATCTAGTAGATAAGCATAAACAGAGGTGTATGTGACAGCATAGCAAAAGCGTATAATGTCACTATTATTAGCCAAAATCTATAATGTCACTATTATTAGCCAAAAAATAAGGAATGTTTATTTTCATTTAGAAAAAAATATTTGCACTTCTTTTTTCATCTAGAAAAGGTAATTTGGAACTTTTATTTTCTATTCCGAGCACTTTGTAATATAGATTTATTATAGTAAAAACTTAACTGTGGTGAAAGTTTGGAACTTTAAGTTACTGTAGTAACAATTTTGCAACTTGCATATACTATAGAAAAAAACTTTCACTTTACTATAAAAAAAACAGTCTTGATGTATAAACCTATACAATAAAAATTTGATTAACTATATAAATTATAGTTAACAAAATTTTCCTAGAGTAGTTTTTGTTAGAGTAGACATGCATTTTTTTTCAGGAATAATCAAAACGTACATGTGATTTATACTACATTTATAGTCTTTTGTATCATCTGTTTTGTTTTTCAGGATATCCAAGACCATTGTTCCGTGCATAATATTCTTGCAGAATGCAAATATTTTGCTGGTATGAAAATAAAAGAGTGCTATGATGGAGGTAATTAAATTTGATAGTCCATTAGTAAAGGAAGACAAACAAATCTTTTGAATATTAGGGCATAAAACTACACTGTGCATGACTATGCGTTTATACGGTTTGTCTCTACAATTGGGATGCGCTGTATTGAGTTGTGGCAAGTTGTCCTCAATTGGGTCGAACTGTCTTTAATATCGTTAGGGGCGACTTGTCCTGATTCCGATTTGTGGTCGTTAAAACACATTCTTTTTAAAAATGCTTTTCCATTATCAAAAATTAATTGTGATAACAAAAAATAAATAAGTAGAAGTGCAACTTCATAGTTAAGTGGGATTGATTAATTCGCTTTTGTGTCCCATTCTAGAATTTTTTATCTTAGAGAGACGTTACCGTATGCCAGTGAAAGACTTCCAATTTAGAACTTTACTTGGTTGTCATGGCCATTGAGCAGTGGGGTTTCTTTATCGTGTCAACGCCTTCACTGAAAGGGGACCTCGGTTTTAAAAATCTCTTCCAAGGACCTGCAATTTTCACCTTAAAGTGTCAAGGGCTTCGCACAGTGAAAGTTGCATTTTCAGCCTTGTGTATGGGCGTCGGAAGCAAATTGAAAAGGGGGGGCTAATTGGAGGTAAACTCCAATTTTCAATGCCCATATTATGTGTATATTTGCAAAAAAGGCCCGTCCGGTTCGGACACCTTTGTTGTGTACATGTAGTAGGCTTGGGGCGAATTACTTTGTAAAGTAATGCATTAATTTACGATAACTTAACAATTTGGGCGTTAAATTACCATTACTCTATTTTCTTAAGGTAATTCATTACATTACCATAACTTAAGTAAAGTAATGCGTTACCATTACCATTACTTTTGGAGATTTTTAAAAATAGAAAAATTATACAAAATTTTTTTTTTATAAACATGCATCCACCTTTCAAAACCAATCATGATAAATGATAATTCAACTTTGATTTCAGGTATTTGTATATATTACACCGTCAATAACTTAATTACATTCATAGAAAGTTTAAACTTTTAAATTGTCAGTAATGTAAAACATGAACAATATGCATTTTTTGTGTAACTGTTGATGTTAAAAAGCAATTTAACTTTTAGGACACTTTAAGCCCTGTCCAAAATTTTTAATAATGAAGCTTAAATCGATTATTTGGATCATGTACGCTATGAAAAAAATAAATGCATTGACAAAGTTATACAATTTATAGACAGTATGTACATTTTGCTTTGCTAAGCATTAATGTCTGTATGTCTTCTATTTTCTTTGGTTCCGTGTTTTTTTTCATGTCAGTTCAAGCTAGACCAGCTTAATTAATGTTTTATAAACACAGTCAAGAGAAAGGGACTGGTAATTTGGAGCATTTCTCCAAACAATGCACTGTTTAATTGTTACATAACCCATAGTGTGTTTTGTTGACACTCTAGCTGTGACAATTATTAATTAACATTAATTAGAGTACTTCATACACGATTTTATTAAAAAAAAACTATTTGAAATAATTTTTTGAAATCAAATCTTATGAAAATAAGCTTGAAGACTCAAAGTATTAAAGTGTTGGTATCTGATGAAAAGTCTTCTCACAAGGATTACATATGTGAAGTATGAAAGCCCTAGCCCTTGCCATTCAAAAGTTATAGTAAAGGTTAAAGTTTTTTCATCAGTACGAAGTTCTCCAAGGTCAACTTCAATTGGTCAAGGTTGTTGATATCAAATGAAAGTTCTTGCCACAAAGAATACATATGTGAAATATAAAAGTCCTATTATCTACTGTTCAAAAGTTGTGGCAAAGGTCATAGTTTTTTAAAGTAGGTCAAACTCCAAGGTCAAGATGAAAGGGTCAAAGTTCTGGGTATCCAATGAAAGGCCTTCTCACAAGGATAACATATTGACGTATGAAAGCCTTAGCCCGTACTGTTCAAAAGTTATGGTCAAAGTTAAAGTTTTTTCATAAGTTCGGAAATCTCCAAGGTCAAGGTCAAAAGGTCAAAGTTGTTGGTATGCAATGAAAGGTCTTGTCATAAAGAATATATATGTGAAATATAAAAGTTCTAGTATCTACGATTAAAAAGTTATGGCCAAAGTTAAAGTAGGAATTTTTTTCTGTAAAAGTGGGTCAAACTCCAAAGTCAAGGTCAAAATGCCAAATTTAGTGTTACCCAAAGAAAGGTCTTATCACAAGGAAAACATATGTTAAATATGAAAGTCAAAGCTCCATCAAATCAAAAGTTATGGGCAAGGTTAAAGTTTTTTTGACGGACGGACAGACGGACAGACTGACGAACAGACGAATGAAATTTAATGTCCCCTCGCTCTCGCGAAAGCGGGGGACAACAATAACCTAAACAATTCTTTCCATGTCCATTTTGATTTTAAAATAGGTACATGCAAAATAATACGGTGTAATGCTATGTAATGGTAATGCCAGCATTACAATAATTTAAATGAAGTACATGTAATGAATTACATAACCATTACATGTAATACAATTTTTTGGCATTACACATTACTTTGAGTTCATGTAATTCATTGAAATGCATTACCATTACAATAAGCAATACCCCAAGCCTGTTGTGTAGTCAGTACTTTCGTAGTTGAATTATGTTCATCCTAGAATATAAATTTGAGCCCGTATTAGAGAATTTGAAAACTGCAAATTTAGGAAACATTTTTGTATTATTTGGTTTTTCATGAGTTTATTTCTATTCAATATAAGCATCGAAGTAATGTTCCGGAAAAAGTTCTCTTCTTGAAGTGATTTAAGGGCTTTCTAATGATGACTGAATTAACGAGGCTCGATCTACATATACTTGATCTGAGCATACGATTTAAGCAGCATCGACTCGGGCACGTCCATTATTTATACACTGAATTGACCACGGATTTTTTCCGTTAATTCCTGATTATGACAACGAGCACACGGCGGGTGTGACCGGTCGGCAGGGGATGCTCACTCCTCCATGGCACCTGATCCCACCTCTGATGTTTCGGAGGTCCGTGTTTGCTCTGCTCTTATTTTGTATATTTGTTTTATGGACGTTGAGATTGAATACTGTTCGTTATTTCCATATCCTTCACAGTACCCTTGACTGCCGTCACAATTTAATACAATAACGTTAAAATCAAACCTGTCTCTTCTTCCTATAAGGGTGTAGTTTCAATCCACATTTTGATGAAATTTCTTAAGTCGACATAATCCCCTATTTTACTTTAATTTGATATTTTACTTTCATTCACAGTATTCTTTACATTGTTCTATCTGTAAATTAACAATATAAAAGATTCGGAGAGTTGTACATGCAAATATACACTACATCTATTCCCATTATGCTCATTTGTAGCACGAATATGACTGTCCGTTGAGTGGAAGTATATTATATTAAGGTTACTTTACTTATCAGTTTCGATGAATAGACTCCAGTATCTAAAGAAAAAAAAAACAGGCACTTCCAAAAAGCTCAAAAAAATATTTTCAAGAGTTTAATGAACGAAATGCATCGTAAAAACCAATCAATCTGCAGTGGTTGGAGACTTAATGCATGTACGCTGTGATTGGTTTGGCAGAAGGGCGAACAACAGGCACTTAGCATTGTTTTTGAAAGTGGGGGGGGGGGCAGCCAGAGAAATTATTTTTTACTTACCTGTGAAAGCTGACAAGCAAAAAAAAAGGAAACTACCCAAACTCGAAAATCAACTTCCTTTTGCGTCTAATTTTTTTGGCATACAAAACTACATTTCCCTGATATCACTGTACTGTGGTTAACTTAAGGATGTACAACACACCTACCCCAAAAAAATTCCTGTCGTTTAATTTTCGTTATTTTTGTATATTTAGTACATGACTATATCTACTGCATGTATGCATATTTTGGACAAAATCGTTCGAGTGGTTTTTGGACAGGAACATCCGAAAGTTACCCCCCTTTAATTGTTTACAAGGAGAGAATTTTTTTAATCAATGAACTAAATAAACCTTGATTTTCTAAAAACCAGGTTAGATATTAATGTCAAATTTCATTGGCTTTTTCCTTCAACCATTTAAAACAAAAACATAGTCATCTTATTGATATATATGTCATCAAAACAATTTTTAAAGACCTTAAACTGAAAAACTTTGAATTTTCTAAGCCTTGAAAAATGCGTATTTTTCAAATTCAAAATTTTTTTGTGAAAAAACCTGTCGTTTAATTTTAGTAAAAAACTTTCTTTAGGTAGCTGGTGGTAAAAATAATCTTCATAATTTTTTGTATAATTTTTGTACGACCAGTTTTGATTTAATAGCGGAAAATTACCCCCTCCCCTTTCTCAATAAATCGCGTTCCAGCGCGTTTTTCAGACGCGGGTCGATCACTTTGTTATATGAATCTACAAATACAAATTAAAAAAAATTAAATTGGAATATTGCTTTTGCTTGAAAAATATATTAACTTACAAATTTAAAAGTTTTCATTTGTAAAGCGTATTTAAATGTAGATTTTTATGCAATTTTTGAATACTCCTATCACCCCCACCCCTTCCTTTTTTGCGTCGCAGACCATTAGTGTTTGACGAAACGTCGTTTACAGTGCATACTGGTATATTTCGTCAAGAATAGAGGAGGTATGAATTAATTTTCAAATTCATGAATGCAGAATAAATATTGACTACTCTTTTTATATGTATGAGGAAAAAATTACTGAAAGATTTTAGTGTTTAGTCCATAAACGTATGCGTTATGCATTCCATATCACATAAAACCTGGATACAAATATTCAAGTAATTAGTTTTGTTGAACGTGAATATGTTGATTTTTAATTTTATTTCTTTAATTTTATTCATTAAAAAATGGTGCATGTTCAACTTTTCTGTGATATAAATGAAATAATTGTAGTTTCTTTCATGTCATTATTTCAAACGAGACAGTATGTGGCCGTGGGGATACACGACATTTGCATGGTACATGTATACACCCCTCATGATATTGTACGCATTTCTTTCAATGTCGTCGCTTCTAAAGTTAAAATGAAAATTCCATATTCGTCCACATTAACTTCAAAATATCAAACATTAAACTCTTCATCTATTTCAATTTAAATCAAATCGCACATTGTTAATTTTTTTAAAAATCTTATAGACTATGTTTTGTTTTGATTCGAGGAAATGCGAACCGACTTTGTTGACATAAAGTCAAAGTTACGATTTGCTGCAATAGGATATTCATAAATGCAGATAATTTCAGTACAAGTGAACGATTCTTTTCAATTCTATACTTACATTGTGTATATGAGGTCTATAGTATTCAATTCTCGAATTTATCAAGTCTTGCTGTAAATGTATCTGATTCTGTGGAAAACCGTGAATAAAGGGAGGAAAATAAACATCTCCTACATTTTCAGAGTTGTTCCTCTTTGATCAGTAAGGGTCTGAGAACGACATCGATTTTACATTGTAAAAAGTTTATTGTTTATTTATTGTTGTTTTATTTAATTAAAAAAGAAAAACAATCCATGTAATTATATCGTGTATGCACAAATTGTAATGAAGATCATTAATCAGAATATTATATAGCCAACTGTACATAATGAGAATTGCGGCAATGTAAAATAAATTTTTCAGAATAAAAAAAATGCTGCGCTTTGAAACAAATACAATTTATTGTATATGAAATGAAATGGTATTTTATGTCTTGCTTTTTACGGAGTTTAATCGGGTTAATTAAAAAATACTTATTGATTGAATATGGTACGCACAATCACAGCCAAGTGATAGTCCCATATTCCAATTTTCTTTCACGATTGATATACATCGTTTTACTCGTCGTTTTGACGCTTTATTTTTGACGTTAAATTTGACGTCACGTCAAACGTTCAATTGAAATCGCAAGAGTTATCTCCCCCAGTGTGTTGTACGTCTTTAAAACAATATAATACTATAGTTAGCTTTAGTTTACTATAGTTAACTATCGTTATAACTTTGACACAGTGAAAACTTTGATTTACTATAGCGATTACTTTGACAATTTGAAAAACTTGGACGAAAACTTTGACACTTTGAAAAACTTTGGCGAAATCTTTGACACATTGAAAAACTTTGACGAAAACTTTGACACTTTGAAAAACTTTGGCGAAAACTTTGATACTTTGAGAAACTTTGACGAAAACTTTGATACTTTGAAAAATGGGGGCCAACAAAACCTTTCAATGGACATTTTCAATAGTAAAGGTAATGATGGGAAAAAAGTGGGGGTCAGCCCCCCCCCCCTTCCGCTGTTGCTACGTGCCTAAACAATTATTTCTTACAATTAAAATTTGAAAAAATGGCATTCAACATTAATTTAAATCAGATCGGTGATTATTCAAAATCTGTATTCATTTGTAAATATCAGTGAATTATTTTTTTATTTTAAAAAATAAATGAAGCTAACAACCTGCCTACACGTAGCGTTTCGTAATGTATAAAGCTGATCATAAAAATCAAACATCTAGTTATGATTAGTAGTAGTATAAAACATTACTATTATTATAAGAAGTATGCGTGTAGAATAAAACTTTATTATTATTACTTTGAAACTTTTAAAGATAAGATCAAAGAAGGACAACGTGTAGTCAGGGGGATTGATTGGAGCTATGGTGATCAAGACGGAAGAGAGGGGAACATTGGAACGGTAATAGAAGTCTTTAAGGACGCAAAACAGGTGCGAGTGCAGTGGGACTCATCGAATGATGCAGGAGACCAAAAAGACATGTATAAATACAGGACAGGACTGGAGGGGAAATACGATCTGCGACTTTTCGATAACTCACAAACAGGTACTTTACCTTTTTAAAGTATGATTGACAAACATGATTCCTCACTTATGACTAGTTAATAGATTTTTAAATGTAGATTTTATAAAACAATATTTACAAATGTTTTTTTTTCCAAAAAATAGTTATATAAAGAAAATTAAAAAGTTTATCCATCCTTCTTCACATATTTCATAGATATTCGCATGATGCCTTCGTTTACAGCACTTATAACTTGAAAGTGTCTAATTTAGAAACAATTCTCTTGTGTTTATTTTCAAAAAGTACGCAAAATAATTCAGAGCTAATATTAGTCTTTCAATTCTGAAACCATTGATTAATTTGGATGCCTCTGAGATCTGTAACATAAAAAGTTGGTATGTCCCTTTCAAGAGGGTTTTATTGACGATCAGCATTGAAATTTATTTTCTATATGTTGCTTGAAACATTCTTATTATAAGGTGTACATCACAAGTTTTATGGATGTGATGTCTGTGAAGAAACACCAATAATTGGAATGCGATGGCGATGTTTGTATTGCGAGGACTACGACTTGTGTACGGAGTGTTATATGTACGACGAACATAATATAAAACATCCGTTTGAAAGACATCAGGGAATGAAAACAATGAGGTATAGATTTTCTTGGATTTTTAGGGCACCTGAGTAAACTCAGGTAACCTATTGCTATCTATTTTCGTCCGTCGTACGTCGGTCGTAAACGTTTAAACAGCTTCTTATCTGGAACCACTGAACCAATTTCAACAAAATTCGGTATACAGCATTTATTGATTAAGGCAAACAAAAAATTTGAATGTCATGGACCCTGCTCCCCTACGACCTGAAGGGTGGGGCCAAAACAACTAAAATTAATGCGATCTTTAAAAATTTTCTTCTTTAATCCTGGACATCAAGGAGTCAAATTGTTTAAATGATTGTAATCAGCATTAAGTCCTCTACCATAATTTAGAAATTCATGACCCAAGGGTAGGTTTTCTAATGCTAGAGCGGGACTATATAGTTAATTTAGTAGTTAGTGTGGATTCATGTATACATAGATTCAAGTTTGTTCAAATCATCCCCCCTCTTTCAGGATAGTGACCACTTATGCATCTACTGAATAGAGTTTTCCTAGCCACAGTGCTCAGATTAGCGATGTGGCCTATGGACCTCTTGTTTGTGTTCCCTTACTCTGTCTATGGTTTTTACGTAATTAAACTATAAATGTTAAGTTTATAGTAATGATGTGCAACGATGATCCAAATTTAATTGTTTGAAAATTATTGCATAATGGTTAGGTGACCTATAAGGCCCATAGACCTCTTGTTTTAATATGTAATCCTTCTATGAATTTGCAGTCAACTTGTAATAATTTATTTTGATGTTGCATGACATCCGTTACGTTATTTCGGGGAAAGTTTTTTCGTTAAAGGTATACTGTTTCTTTTTTTGTATTATTTTAGGAGCGAAATGCTTCAATTATTATTTTGTTTAATATCCTTTACTAGCTTTGATTCTAACTATCGCCGAGATTTTAAGTTTTAGTATATTTAGGTCACCTGAGTATCTCAGGTGACTTACTGCTATCTGTTTTGTCCGTCGAGTGTTAAAATTTGAACATTTTCAGCTTCTTCTCTAAAACCACTGGACCGATTTCAACCAAATATTGTATACAGCATTTATGGGTGAAAGGGAACAAAACTTGTGTATTTTATAGTCCCCACCCCCTAGGGCCTGAGGGTTTGGGCCAAAACCACCAAAATTATTGCAATCTTTAAAAATATTCTTCTTTACTTCTGGACATCAAGCAGGCAAACTGTTCGCGTGAATGTAATGAGCATTGAGTCCTCTATCAAAGTTGTGAAATTCATAGCCCCAGGCCAGGGGTTTTCGTGCTAGGCGGGGCTATATAGATTATATGGAGATAGTGCATTATTTCTTTGAAAATCTTCTTCTCTGCTCTTGGATATTAAGTAAACTAACTAAGTACTGAGTACATAGTTATGTTGAGCAAGAGTGCCTCTTCCAAAATTGTGAAACTCATGGCCCCAGGGTCATGGGTTGTAGTGTTAGTGTGGGGCTCTATTTACATGTATCATATAATGAAAATGCATATATTCTTTGAAAGTCTTCTTCTCTGCTTCTGGGTATTAAATGAACAGACTAAACACATAGTTATGATTAGCAAGAGTGCCACTTCCAAAACTGTGAATTTTATGGCCAAAGGGTCAGGGGTTCTTGTGCTAAGGCGGGGCTTTATTGATTTTATAGTGAAAATACATTAATTCTTTGAAAATCTTGTCCTTTGCTCCTTGGTTTTATGCCAATGATCCTAGTATATATATTTATGATGGTGCATCAAGCAAAATGGTAATTTTTTATACCCCCTTGGTGGGGGGGGGGGGTCATAAATGATGCTTTCAAATCCGCTCTTTAGTGTATTTGACCATTTTGTTATAAAATTTGCAAAATGTTGAAATATATGGCCCCAGCGTCAGTGGTTAATTTGAAGTGAGGTGCACAACTGGTTATGAAGTGGAAGTGCATATTCTCTTTGCTACTCTGATCTTCATCTGGATATTAGGTAAATAGAGTAAGCATGCTTAGTTTATAATTATGATAAGCAATGGTACTTGATACCCAGAGGCAGATCAGAGTTACAATATGCATTTTTACTTTTATATATTATAACCAGTTGTGCACCCCATCTTGAGGAAGCACTGACCATGGATCCACATATACACAAATTTGGGAATGTTAATCATAGATTTTATTTCATGATAAATGGTAAATAAATACCAAAAAGCAGATTTCAAAGCATTAATTTATTTTCAGACTATGTAACCCCCCCTCTCCGATGATCCAGACACAGGGGGGCATGAAATTAACCATTTTGCTAGATGCCCCTTTCTTCCTCATAAATATATATACCTGGATCATAAGCATAATGCCCAGGAGTAAAGGACAAGATTTTCAAATAATTAATGTATTTTTCACTACATAATCAAAAGAGCCAACCCCTTCCTTACACCGTATGACAAAACCCCTGACACAGGGCCATGAAATTCACAAATTTGTTTGAGGCATTGTAACTTTATACTAAATTTGTTTTTGTTAATACCAAGAAGCAGAGAAGGAGATTTTGGAAGAATTAATACATTTTCACTATACAATCAATAGAGTCCTGTTCCTTACACCACAACCCCTGACCCTGGGGTCATAAAATTCAAAAAATCTGGTAGAGGCACTCTTGCTCATCATTACTACATGTGTGTACTTAGCTTATTTAATACTCATGAGCAAAGGACACGCTTTTCAAAGAATTAATGTATTTTCACTATAAAATCAATAAAGCCCCGCCCTAACACCAGAACCCCTGACCCCGGGGCCATATAATTCACAGTTTTGGTAGAGGCTCTTGTACTCATTATTACTATGTACTTAGTTTATCTAATATCCAGAAGCAGAGAAGAAGACTTTCAAAGAAACAATGCATTTTCACAATACATGTATAATCAATAGAGCCCCGCCCTTACACCAGAACCCCTGACCCTGGGGCCATAAAATTCACAATTTTGGAAGAGGCATTCTTGCTCATCATGACTATGTACTTAGTCTATTTAATACCCTGGGGCAGATGAAGAAGATTTTTACAGAAATAATGCATTTTTTCTTTATAATCAATTGAGCCCCGCCTTACCACTGGAACCCCTGACCCTTGGGGCCATGAATTTCACAATTTTGGTAGTGGCCTCAATGATTATTACATTCATGCCTACAGTTTGGCTGATTGATACATGGATCCAGGAGTAAGAAGATTTTTAAAGATTGCTTTAATTTTTGTAGTTTTTGTCGCACCCTCCAGGCCCCAAGGGGGGCAGGGACTATGAAATTCACAATTTTTGTTCCCATTCACCCTTTATGCTTTACACCAACTTTGGTGGAAATCTGTTGAGTGGTTGCAGAGAAGAAGCTGAAAATGTTCAAATGTTAACACATTTAGTGTGTTAACGGACCAAAATATATAGCAATAGGTCACCGGAGTTTACTCAGGTGACCTTAAAAGGTTTGATCTAGCCTTATCTTCCGTAACCTTAACTTAAAATCTAGGCAATATTAAAATTGTTGTATAAAAATTATTGATGCAAAATTTGTGAACACTTCTCGTTTCCAAGGTCTCTCATATATCCTTTAGAGCATTAATATGTTAATTTTGAGTTTTGGACAATTATTCTTAAGCTCACCTGCGCTCAAGTGCATAGTTTGTAAATTGTTCAAATCATAACCCCCGGGGGTACAGTGGGGTCACAATAGGGAATCAAAGTTTTACATAGAAATTGATAGGACAATTCTTTAAAAATCTTCTACTGAAGATCCACTGGGCCAGAGGAGCTGAAACGTATGTGAAAGCATCCTGGAATAGTATAGATTCTAAATCGTTCAAATCATGCAGAGTGGAGACACAACAGGGAAGAAAAGTTTTACATAGAAAGAAATAACTAGAACTGTCCAATGGGGACAAATACCCGCGCTGGGTTTTTTCAGAGTAGGTGTCAATTCACAAATATTTTATGGATCTATGAAGAGGTGTTCACTTTTTTCTAAAAACAATTGGAGTGAAAATATTATTGATCATTAAATTTTGTTTAATTAATGAAATTAAGGTGCAACCAAATAAAACATCAATATTAATATATTGTAATAGTTTTGAGCTCACCTGAACCGAAGGCTCACGTGAGCTTTTCTGATCAATTTTTGTCCGGCGTCCGTCCGTCTGTGTGTCTTTCTGTAAACTTTTCACGTTTTCGACTTCTCAAGAACCACTGGGCCAATTTCAACCAAAATTGCCACAAAACATCCTTGGGTGGGAATTCAATTTTGTTCAAATGAAGGGCCATGCCCTCGATCAAAGGAAGATAATTGGGATTAAGGAAAATTTTCTAAGAACCACTGTGCCAGAAACTGTGAAACTTATGGGGAAGCATTTCTGCAGTTAGAGTAAATTCAAGATTGTTAACATCATGACTCCTGGGGGTAGGACGGGGCCAAAATGGCCGAACCAAGTTTTACTTAGAAATATACTGGAAAAGTCTTTTAAAATCATCTCAAGAATGACAAAGCCACATTTCATCATATTTATGTGGAAGCATCCTCAGGTAATATAGATTCAAGTTTGTTCAAATCATAACCCCCGGGGGTAGGGCGGGACCAAAAAGGCCGACCAAAGTTTTACTTAGAAAAATATAGGAAAATTCTTTAAATATCTTCTTCTCGAGAAAAGCAAAGCCATAATTCATCATATTTATATGGAAGCATCCTCATGTAATGTATATTCTATTTTGTTCAAATTATGATCCCCGGGGGTAGGACGGGGCCAAAATGGCCGACCAAAGTTTTACATAGAAAAATATAGGAAAATTCTTTAATAAATCTTCTTCTCAAGAAAAGCAAAGCCACTATTATCATATTTATATGGAAGCATCCTCAGGTAGTTTAGATTCTATTTTGTTCAAATCATGACCCCCGGGGGTAAGGCGGGACCAAAACGGCCGACCAAAGTTTTAAATAGATAATAGAAATATTTTTTTTATTTAATTAAAAAAAAAATAAATTGAAACTAATTGTCATGATAC